CAAACGGGCGTCCCTCCGCCATGCCCGGAGCCCGCCATCTAGGAGCAGAGGGCTCTGCACCGCCTCGGCTCCTCCGGGGTGGTGGTGGCGGGTGTGGGGGCTGAGGGGATCCCCCAGCCCACCCCGCGTCCCGCCCACGGGGGGTAAAGGCCGACAGGGAGGGGAGCGGCCACGCGTTTGAAGTAACACCCGCGCTGTGGGGGAATGCCGGCATTAGTCCTTTTTCTAATAAAATAACGCGCTCTCGCGGAGGTGGAGAAGCCTTAAAAGCTTGGCAGTGCTACGGAACTTGATAAAAGAGCGGAATTCGGAGCGACGGAATTCTCCCTTCCGAGTTGCACGCGTATGGCAGAGAGATTATAAATAAAAGATTGGGTTCATTTAATTTTCAGTAGGATGCCGGCTTCTGGAGTCGGGGAAAGCTGCCCCTGACACTGCGGTACAGGCGTAAACCCAGGGAACGCGGATATCGAGTTCTTCCACTCGGCGCTCGGCCGAGGAACGTTAGTTAGGTTTGCGAAAAATACAAAAGACGGACTTGAACAGGCTTTCTACAAGCTGGTATTACAAATGCGGTCGGCATCCCTGCTTTTTGCCACTTAAGCCATTGTTTTATGTGATTTACTAGCAACGGAAAAATGGATTTGCTCTGTTTTAATTAATGAATTAATTAAAATTAATTAATGTAAATGTTTTAGCACGACAACCGTCGTCTCAGTCTCCTTTTTTAGTTTCTAAATGTGCTTGATACTTCTGAAATGCATTGCTAATTCATCCAGCTTTAGAAGCGTTTATTTTCTGCTTTTGGTGACAATATGATTGCATGATGCCTCAGGAGGTTACTCGGATGCTGGAAGAACAATGAGCTGCACAAAATTGCAGACTTTTGGTGAGGATAATTCATATAGAAGGGATGGGGTAAAATCCCTGTTTTGGGGATTTCCATGTGTTCGTGGGGCTTCCATGTGTTTGTATGCATTGTATTTTTTATATTTTTAAGGATGAAAAAAATGGAAAACAACAAGCTGAAATTTCAAAGAGTAGATTGTTTTATACTAGAGGTTTTTACTGAGCTGACAATAGCCAGTATAAACATTCTAAACATTGTATCCACTGGTAGCAATATTTTATGTTTCTAATCTCTTATGATCTCACCATGGTATCAAAATCCTTTAGAATAAACCAGTTTGATCCTGGCATGGGTTGGCGCTTTCTCCAATCAGCACTTAAGAATGTGCTGCTTTTTATTTGCGTTAAGCTGTCTAACCAGTTTCTTTGCAAGCCTAATGGATTACATTTTACTTCCCGTTTCCTTAGCACAGATGTAGTATCGGAGTGCTTTTTCTGTTGTTTACCTTCAGAGCAGACGGTTCTCGTTCTTCTAGTTCACCTGTGTAGAGCAGCTAAAAGCCAAGTACAGGTGTCTGCTCGGATACTGTAGTAGTTTCTCCAGGAAATCTAGTCATGTTAAAACACAGCCTATTTTTGTTCACTTTTGGACTAACTTTAACTGGAAAACCCTCTTGGATAAAAGGTAAGCTTTCAGTTTTTGTTATGTATTTAGAAAGTTTCTCCAAGTCTTCTTGTACTCTCTGGTCCTGATTGTAATTATACACTCCTTTCAAATCGAGTCACTGGTCTCCCCAGGTATTAGGCTTTAGCTGACCTGCCAATTGACAAAATCTTGTTCAACAAAAAGGTGTCTGGAAAAGATTACAGATTGAAGCTTTTTATAGCTGAACTATTTGTGGTTGGGTTTTTTTTTTCTCCAGGATGTAGTAGGTATGTAAATACATCATCTTTACCGGACACTGGTTATGACAACTGCAGTTACTGTCACTCTCATCGACAGTAAAGACTGGAGAAAAAGATTTTGATCTTTGGTAATGTGAAGGAAATTCCTACAGTTTTGTTTTAGTTCTTCATTAGCTCATTTCCATTTACGATTTGGCTTCAGATTTTAAGTTTAGATTTAACACCTGAAATATTTCTTAGAAAGTGATATTTTTATGACTTGCATTAAAGATGGTTTCCTGCTTTCAGGTGTCAAAATTGAAATTGTTAGAACTGCATTTCCACTGTTAGTTCAACATACACTTAACTCATGAAACAGAATGGATTTTGTAATTTAGATAATAAAATTATTGAAGATTAAGAGCAAAGTCAGAAATAAATATTGAGTGCTGGTATTTGTCTGCAAACCTGTTTGCTAATAGCAACTCCTATATTTTGATTGCAATGGCAGTCTTTAATGGTAAACATATGCTACCTGCAACTAGCTTTTAAAAATCCTGATGTTATCTAACAGGTAGAGATCATCATTACACTGAAGAATCCTCCTCCTTGCTTTGGATGGGTGATTCTGTGTCTTCTTTGCAATTATGAAGTCCTTTCACAGACATGTGGGAGGCTGAGGCTGACCTTGTGCTACTATAAATGAGAAGAAATCTCTTTGTTTCCTTACGAGAGAACAATTTAAGAAGGAAGAAACCACTTTCATTGTTAAAACCCGTGTTATAGTTGATTCTGTAACCTGTTTAAAAGCAATGGTTGAGTCTCTGTTGATCAGAGTCAACACTCAAACCAGACTGAGGAGCAGACAAGAAAGAGGAAGATGAATTCAAGTTCACACAATTTTTAAAAAAGTCACTGGTGGTTGTTTTTGTCCTTACAAAACTGCTTACTTGAAACCAGATACTCAGCAGACTTCTTATTTGTAGCTTCCTGCATTAGCATGATGTTCTGGAGATGGTTCTGATATAACGTAAAAGGCTACAGACCTTTTGCAAAGGTTTAACTGTTGCTGGAATGAACAAAATGCAGCATTAGGCAATGGCAGGAGGCAAGCCTGGTGAGCCAAGATTATACACGCAGCAGGTGGCAGAATTATATCCAGAGGACAACTGTAAGTATTCCTCATTCAGGGCAATGGAGAAAGGAATATGAGTAAAGGGATTTAAATGGAAGGAGAGGGCTAAAGGGGGAGTTGATTTAATCAAGGAAAGGACAGGAGGAAGTAGAGACACAAGCAAAAGGGAGAAGATCAGCAAGTGCAGGACCTAACAGTAGCTAGAAGGCGAGCCCACAGCAAATGGCTCTGTAACAGTAAAAACATTCCCCAGAGTATTTAAGGACTGAATTTATTCTTCTGGAGATACAATATTCTCCAATTCTCTGCCTAGCAAAGTTCTGAAACATCCTGGCAAAGTTGGATCCACCATTCGAAATAATTGTACTATAGGTCCATCAGTCACTCCTAGAGACTCTTGCTGTAGATTTACAGATCAGCACAGTCTTCCTGGCACCACTGAGGTGATTTCACAAAGCTTGAAGGACCTTAATTCCATTTGAGATGTTAGCATCTCTTGCACAGTTGATTTTAACTGGCCAGCTACTTCAAAAATTACTGTGAGGGGACAGGTGGGTGGGCAGAGAAGGTAGCTGCATAAATTTTCTGTGGTACATCAGGTTAAAAGAAGAAAAAATGTTTCAAAAATTATCGACAAAGTTACCAAGTTAATAATCCAGAATATGTGAGAATTAAGATTGTGTTTAAATCATTTGATAGTTTTTCTTTGTGTGCTCCAGAAAACCCCAGCTTTAATCTGAAGTTACTTTTTTTAAATCAGTTTGACCATTCCTAAACTATTTCTTCATCACTATCAAAGTACGCACTGAATACAGGAAAGGATATATTTTTTTTATTTTTCTTGTTCTTGGGATTCTCTATCATGTTACTGTCATACTGGTTGAGGGATTTTTTTTTCCAAAGAATAATTAATTTGGTTTGATATTGCCTAATGAAGGAATGAGAAAAATTTGAGCTATTATCCTAGTTTATAATGTAAGTAACTAAGACCAAGAGTTAAAGCCAAGATTGCCAGTCAGTTTTGGATAGCCCGTTTAAGAAAACTTTTGCTCAAATTTGCAGTTTGCAGCACGTTACATCAGTTGTGTTTGGGGTGATGTAGTCATTAACCTTGAGTACAGTCAAAACAGCATTTCTGCAGAGAATGAGGCCACATATATTTGGTTTAAACACTCAGAAATGCAGAGTAACTTAGCCATGAATGAAAATGTTGATTTCTGCGATTTTCCCAGCATAATCCAAGAGCTCTGGCAGAGACAGAACAGACCAAACTGAGCATGGGCAGTCAGGTCTTTCTCCATTTATGGATAGATCAGAATGGTCTTTCAGCAATCACCACTGTGCAGATGCCAACATAATGTCTTACTTATCCTTTCTGATTCTTTAGAAATTTCAAACTTTTTTTTAGGTGTATCTTCTGAACAGACATCCAGACTTTCTACATTAGAAATAATTATTCCTCAAAGTCTGACGGGCAGAGAGAAACATCACCCATTTTTTCATGAGGTTTGTTATTCTATCTGTTTTTTTCTTCTGATGTTGCTGTTTTTCACAATACTGTCCTATATTACACACACATAAATGCACAGAGTCTATGGTATATATAGATTATTTTTGTGAAGAATTGCACCCCACACTATCTCTTCAGATTCTTAGTGTTTTCAACTAGTTTTTAGTAAATTTGTTCCCACAAAGGTCTGTGATTGCACTCTAAGTTAGCACCTTTCAAACTTCCAGTCCTTTAACAGCCTTGTAATACAGAAATGAAAAGGAACATGAAGAATATTTCCATTTCCTCTGAGTCAGATTAGATGCTGAACTCGAACTTGAACTAACATCCATGCTCTATATGTTCTTTTGCTCGTTGTACCTGGTCTTTGGATAACCAGAGGATTTCAACCACGTAGCACCTAAAGAGCTGATGCTCACTTTGTAGAAATGGTCCCACAGAGTCGCACAGGTTAAATGCCTGAGTTAAAAAATCTAAGCCTTAATTCTAAAGTTCTGCAGTAACTTACCTTTGTCCTAGATATCAAGTTCAATTACTGAAGTAACTGTTACTGAAATAGCATTAGTCATCTTTGTGCAAACCGATTAAGGAAGAATCTGTGAGTCATTCGTCCGGCTGCCAATGATTTACATAAGGAGTGTCA